TTATATTAAAAATATTAAAAGAGTAATAATTATGAAAAGTATATAAATTTTTATTCAATTAATAAATAAAAGTTATTTTTTTAATCCTATAAATTAATTATTTATTTAGAACTATAGTGCACTAAACTACTTTTTATAATAGTTTAGTTTTTAAAACTAAAACTTAAAATATAGTTTAGTTTAGTTTTTATAAAAAATAGTTTAGTTTTTTATAGTCTAGTTTAGTTTAGTTTTCCTAATAGTTTAGTTTAATATAGTTCTTTGAACACCCCATATTGCCAAAAATGTCTCCGGCAACAGTGTACCATAGATAACAACGTCCGGTGGTATATGGATTAAGGATATAAAATGTGTTATGATATAATATGGAAGATACATCTTAATACTTATGTCTCAAATTAATCTAAGAAACAAAAATAGTGGACCATGTCCACCTTAGCCTTTGTCATTTTATAGTTCATGCGGCCTTTTATCTCATTTTCTCTTCACTATTAAAGGTAAATTGTTGGTAAAACTATCAAAGTAAGACACCTGAGCAGGTTGATCCATCCTAACACGAGTTGGATAATAAGTGAGTTAATTCAACTTGAATCATCTTTAATTTGGTAAGCCAAGAAACAAAAACTTAACATTTGACTCATCACAAATTAATAGATTAATCAGATTGTTTCACTTAAATTAAAAATAAATTAAATAAAATTTGTTGAACTTTATAAAAAAACCTATTATATAATTTTATTATATCTTAGAATTATAATTATATTAATAATTAGATTAAAAAAATGTAAAAAAAAAATAGATATTAATTACAATCAACTTAATCAATTTATAATATAAAAATAGTTATATAAAATATTAACAAATAATATCAAATTAAAATTAAATATAATTTATAATATATATATATATATATATATAAGTCAATAGTATAAATATATAATGATATAAACTAATATTTAACAAAATAAAAAGTATACTAATCCTGTTAGTCTGTGAACCAATTCGGCTCACCGTCTATCCATGCGTTTGAATTTGCGTCAATAATATTCCACAAAACAAGATATAATATCACGTTTTGAGTTCAATAAACGTCAATTTAAACACGGCCTATGAATAGGTTGAACTAAAAAAGTTTATAATAGAAATGGCTCAAAATTTTCCGATGCAACATGACTCAAATTCTGGGTCAGGTTTACCATAAGTTAAAACTTATTTTTACAGTGTAATTATTATTATTATTATTATTATTATTATTATTATTATTATTATTATTATTAGTATTAGTATTATTGTTATTATTATGTGTGTGGACCATTTGAAAATGTAGCCGCTACTTCCTATGCATGTTATCCATAATAACCTCATTGAATATGGAACTAGCATGATATTACACAAACGAATATGTCAGTCTTCAGACCCAAAACTATATATAATTAAACTGAACATCATATCAATTTAATTAAAAGCATTTTGAGTAAAACACACATATATAGCGAGACAAGCCAAGGGAAAATTAAATTTTCTTTGCTTACGTACCTATGACACATAACTGCTGCACATGCAACATTTCAGGAATCATTTTGGGAGGCTCAAAATTGTACACATAAGAAGCAGAGACATAATTGCTTTGGTCCACTTGGGACGGCTCCCCATGTACAAAAAGTTCAACATGTGCATGCAAGCATTTTATCTGCACATGGATATGGACAGTGCACAGATCAATGTGTCTTTCCAACAGGTTAAAAACCATATATATATTTCACTTTTCTATCGTGTTACATTCACTCACTTCACTAACTATTACCTTTTTCAATAATGTCTTTCCCAAACTCCATTTTGAAGGCTTAACAAGATCAAAAAGAAAAGAAAGAGAAAAACAAGTAAAAGATAGTCATAAAAAAGAGAAATGAAAAAAAAATGAAGATAAAAGATAAAAGTAATGTAAAAATAAATAAATTTTACTAGTTTTATAACTTTATTCACTCTCGGTGACACAATATTCTTCATCAAAACGTGGTTGCTCTTGTTGTCATGCACAATTTGGTCAAAGAAAATGACAATAATATATGATATGAACCTGTTCAAAATTTCAATTCTCTGATACTAGGCTTGGCTGTATGCCTGTATGCTGGCATGTTATCTTGATCTCCACGCCAATTACTTTCCATTAATTATTCACACGTACACTAGCATTCTGTCAAACATTATATATAAAACGATTGTTTCACAGGAGAAAAGTAAATTATTATAATGAAAGAAAGGAAGAAATATTATAAAAGCATGTAAATCTTATAAGATTGATTAAAACATAAATTAACATGTAATAATAATATATAAACATCTTATATATATTAAAAAACTTTAATAACATCTACCATTTCTCTTTTTTTTAATACATCATATTTCTTTTTTTCTCCCTTTCTCACTCTAGATGTTGAACAACACCCAATTGTCTATGAATTATTTTCCAACATAAAGTTAGACGTTTTTCTTGGGTATATGCTTCTCAGCGAAATAAAATGAATTTCCGAGCTCAACTTGAAGGAAAACATGAGAAAACGAAAGGGACATTTAACATATTCAAACTCTTTCTAAGAACCAAGTTGGTTAATTGTTACTTACCACAAATATATAATAGTCGGACTCTACATGCAAGTGAAGAACTTGACGATCCAATAATTGACCCTAACTGGCACTTACATGAGAAGAAGAAAGTTCAACATAGCCAAAGACAACTTGCCGGAAAGAAAATTCCGGTGACCTAGTAATTGACTCCGGCAAGTCATCCTTGGCTGCATCACTCTCTCTGCCTCTTCATGCAAGTCCCTCTTAGGTATGCTGCATTTATTTCTTGCATCATCATGTGATACTTATATGTATTTATAAGGTGCTTGCTTTGATAGCATATAATATAAGGTGCATTATATTATGTGGCGCATTAACCCAAAATTTCTAAAGTAGGAAGTGGCTTTACATGCCAACCGAAAGCCACAATGAGAAAGTCACACCGCCGGACTGACATTGCAAAACTCATCCCAAAAACTTGCTTCATTGGGCATGCAAAATAGGGGACCAATTAGGGAAGTGTTGGGCCCACTTCTTTTTTCTTCTCAAACAAATAATAATCATAATAAGTGTCATTATAAATATAATATATAAATTTAAATTTAAATTTATTTAATATATAATTATACATGATTTTAATGTTAATGTTGAATGAGATTCAATAATATAAATTATATTATTATAATTTATATTTCTATGTCTCCTAAACTTCTAGGAATTCCTTAAGTTTTTAGGGAAATACATTTTAGTTAGTCACCACTAATTGTATATAGAATATCAAATTTCATTTATCTTAAATATAACTATATGAGTATATATACTCTTTATGAGTCATTAATCTATTCGATGTGGGACTTTAATTATGGGTTACAATTAGATATAAGAGAAATGTATTTTTTTTACTCGATGTGGGACTTTATAATTTTTAATAATATATTAATATATATTGTATTTATAATTTAGATAAAAATGATTTTTAGTGACAAGTATAACATGTGTTTTTATATTTTATTTTTTTAAGTAATCGAAGGAATTTGTAAGAGTAATTCTATTTTTGATTATATAATTTTTAGTTTATATGATTAAGAGAGGAGGAAAAAAAAGAAAAGAAAAATCTGAAATAAAATAGATGAAATGAAATAGAGATTAAAAGAAATTTATAAAATAATAGAATGAATGTGAATTTAAGTCTTATATATCTTGGCTCAAAATTTAAAATGATGATTGAAGATTAATATTCAAGTTTTTTAGCTCGAATAACGACCTATGTGGTCGATCAATCAGCTCAAGGAGTCGATTAAGGTGAAAGATCGGTCGAAATGACCGGAGAAAATGGAGAATTTGAAATGACTAAAGATGTCGTAGAAGTGATGAAGAGCATCAATGGTATGAGTTTGACCATCACTACTAGAAAATTGTAAAATAGCGACCGAAATTAGCGATCGAAATTTATCATTCACTATTTAACAACCGATTATGAATAATCAAAATAGCGACCGATTTAGCGACCAAAATAAGTCGTCGCTAGAAAATTGATCGCTATTAGAGCTGTCAAAATGGACTCAGCCTGGTGAGCCAACCCGGCCCATCACAGGTTCGAGCCGGGTTGGGTAAAAAAAAATATAAAAATTTCAGTATGGGCCAATTTTGAACCCAGCTCACCCGGGTTGAACACGTGGTGAGCCGGACTAACCCACCAACCCGTAATAATAAAAATGTATACTTATTGGGCCAATGTAGCCCATTAGGGTTTCATTTTTCAATTTGAACTTCACAAAAGGATAACTGCACAGCCTGCACTCTCACACCCTTAGTCCGCACCGCACAGCCACCATAGTTGCTGCCACCACACCGCATCAGCCACCATAACTGCCACCACACCGCACCAACCACCATAGCTACCACCACATTTCACCAGCCACCATAGCTGCCACCACACCACACCGCACCAGCCACCACACCGCACTGCATAGCTGCCACCGCACCGCACAGCAAGGCACCACGCTCACCGTGCACTGTGAGCCGCCGCACGCACCGCGAGCCACCGCAAGCCACCGAGTGCACCGCGAGCCGCCGCACGCATCACGAGCCCATCGTGAGAAGTTTGCCAATTTGGTTTGTTTTCAGTTTAGGGTTTAGGGTTTTACATGTTTTTCAAAATTAGGTGAGAAAACCCGTTTAATCCACCAACCCGTGGTGGGCTGGGCTGGGTTCAACTTTTTTGAGCTCACTAATAAATGAGTCGGGTTGGTTTAGCCCACCAAATGCTCAACCCGTAGTGGGCCGGGCCAGGTTACCCGTTTTGACAGCTCTAGTCGCTATTTCGGTCGCTAAATAAGAAATTTTGAATTTTTTAGCGACGAAATTAAATTTGGTCGCTATTTCGGTCGCTAAATTAGAAATTTTGATTTTTTTAGTGATGGAATTTAATTCGGTCGCTAAATCAGAAATTTTGATTTTTTAGCAACGAAATTGAATTCGGTTGCTAAATATTAGTTAAAATTAGCGAAAGAATTGAATTCGATCGCTAAATTAGAAATTTTGATTTTTTTAGCGATGGAATTGAATTCAGGCGCTAAATATTAGTTAAAATTAGCGACGGAATTGAATTCAGTCGCTAAATATTAGTTAAAATTAACGACGAAATTGAATTCGGTAACTAAATAGTAGTTAAATTTAGCGACGGAATTGAATTCGGTCGCTAAATCAGAAATTTTAATTTTTTTAGCGATGGAATGAAATTCAGTCGCTAAATATTAGTTAAAATTAGCGATGGAATTAAATTCGGTCGCTAAATCAGAAATTTTGATTTTTTTAGCGACGGAATTAAATTCGATCGCTAAATATTAGTCAATTAGCGATGTAATTATATTCGGTCACTATATATTAGTTAAAATTAGTGACAAAATTCTATTCGGTCACTAAATAAAAGTTAAAAAAAATTATAAATTGCTTAAAAGTGATGATAATATTGTTGTTGAGTATCAATCCCATTTTCTTTTTTTGTAAGAGAAAGATATTAATTTATAATAAAAAAATATTTGTATGCACTCCTACATAATTAATACCAATAGATATTTATGTGAAAAAATATTTTGAGGTTCTTTATTTACGATTGGATTTTTAGGCAGTTTTTTAATTAGAGTATATGAATTTTTTAAAATTTCTTATTTATTTTGATCCATATTTATAATATATATTTCTAACTCATGATAACTTTATTTTTAAATAAATTTTTATATTTAAATTTTATTGATAGAAGAGATGTGATATTTTATGGAAAAAAAGAATTATAACATCCTCTCTTTTTCTAATAGGAAGAGTACAAATGTATTTTCTTAACTATTAGTATTTCTGTATTGTTGTGTGATAAAATTGATTATTTTAAATTATTTTAAATTATTTAACTAGAATCTTATTAATAATTTACTATATGATTTTAATATTTTTGTATAACTAATATATGATTTTAAACTTGATATGAAAATATTATGATATAACTAGATAAGATTTTAAATTAGTATTTTATTAATGGTTGATAATTAGAAAATAAAACAAGGATAAATACATTTTTTGAATTTTATATCTTAGATTTAAGATGAATAAATATATTAAGTTAATTAATAATTTATTTAAAATGTTAAAATTTAATTTATAAAAATAATATTTTAAAAGAGAAGGGTTATAATAACATCGGTGTAACTTTTACTAAGTATTACATCGCTCAATAACTTTATATTAAATGTGAATTTTATAAATTCAACCGTTAGATTGAAAGTTTCTTACTCTTAGATCATACATACAAAATCTTATATGAATTCAAGATGATTTGATACTTCATTCTTGTAAAACAAAATTGATGTAATATATACATTTCAAATAAAATATGAGCATTTTGATTACTTTTAAGTTGTTGTTCAATTTTAACAAAAATTGATATAAAACATATAAAGTGATATGAACTTTCAATCTGACGGTTGGATTTACAAAATTCACATTTAATATAGTTATTGAGTGGTGTAATACTTAGTAAAAGTTATACCAGTGTTATTATAACCCTTCTCATTTTAAAATATATAAATTATTACTTAAACTTTTAAATTTATAATAAATAATTTAAATTTTATCATAAAATTAATTTTATATAAAAATAAGTAGATTGTTAATTTTATGATAAAAATCCTAATTTTTGTTACTCAAGATATCATGGGAAAACTTTGTCTCAAGTACAAGAACATTCACTCACCACCATACTATTATACCAATACATTATACATCCCAATCCTATCTATCATTACCTATATAACATCATTGTCACCACCAATCACCTATCACCATTGATGTCTACCATCATGTATTGAAGCTTATCCACCATTGTTATTCATCACCATTATTGTTATTATCATTATTATTGTAATTATATATTACAATTTTCGCCATCATCACCTCATCAAGATAATAATAATGATAATTTATTATGACAGTTAATATTAAAAATATATAATAAATTTAATATTATTTTACTGTATTATTCATTATTCACCAAATAATGTAATGAACAAAATGTTGTTCATTAACTTCACATTTATTTCATCCTATTCTTCTTATATTGTACATTAATATGTATTAAATACACCCTAAGAATAGATTCCATAAAAGAAGTTATGACTCCTTATTAAACAAATAGAACTCACTCTACAATTTGCCTTTACGGGTAAAAAGGAAAGGAGGGGGTGTGTGATCACTAGCTAGCTTTTAGCATCTTCACATGTATGTGCATGGTTTGAAGTTAATTCTTCATTCCTAATCGCTTACATAGATGTTGAGCATTAGATTGATAACTACACAAAATGATAGGATTCTAAAATGAATTAGGGTCAGCGGGCTTGTTTTAAAATGCGGAAACCTCAACATGTTACAAAATATTAATGTCACGTACAATATTCGTTTTCTTAAAGAAAAAAATGTTATTGAAATACTAATTTATTAAAAAACAGGATGTTATTAATTTTCTCTCTTTTTTTGTTCCCGAAGATTTTCATTACTACATATATAAGCCTCAAGAAAATCTTATGAATGACAAAACCCGTAGCAAACTAATATTTGAAGTCTCAAATTAAAATTTGTATTAGAAGTTCATTGTGTGTGAGAGAGAGTATATACGATGCAACATATAAGGGTTATTATTTAGCTTCAATATAATGTTTTCAAATTTCACTGTCGTAAACCAAAAAAAAAAAAAAACATTGTCAAAATTTATGCATGTCATCGGACACCATAATTAAGCAATATATGTTATGTAATTTTGTTTAATAAAACTTTTTTG